GCCATTTCTGAAGAAGGGTCTAGGCCCAAAACGTCAGCTTTCCTGCTCCTCTGATGCTGCTTGGCCTACTGTGTTCATCCAGCTCTACACCTTGTTATCTCAATTTCAGCTGATAAGTGTTTTTTGTCCTTTTTTAGTTTGAGGGCTAGTAGGCAAATCAAAGAGACATTACAGGAATTCTTTATGATCAGAGACATAGGAGGGATAATGTTTTGCTGAAGTGGCATGGAGAACTTCCACTTTCTAACTCTCTGAAGTTACTAAAAGCAGTTTGCAAGGCTCGAGTGTGGGTTTGGGCTTGTTTAAAAAAAAAGGCACTCGCCTATCAGTTCTTGGAAATGTTTAGTTGCCAGGACCACACGTAATTCTTGCAACTTTGCACTACATTAGTTAACTTAGAAATGTGGAACTCCAGAATACTGAAGCACTTGCTCTTGCTCAAGGCTCAAATAAAATAAGACGAATTTGATACATTCACTTTATGGTATTGCTAGTTTTATCTTACATGCTTCGACTCTTTTTGCAAAAAAAATGAAATGGAGAATTTGGCAGTGAACATTTAAGATCAGCTCCTATCAGGAGTGTACAATGAGTGCATGTTTATCCCAAACTGCAGCTATATTGCCCAACCCTTTCTCCAATGCCCATTCGTTCCAAATGGACAAAGCCCAGGCAACTCATCTGTTATGCACATACCGCTTACTGTCCTGTTTGAATTGCACAGGCACAAAGCTTTGATAAGAGCAGTTCTTAGCGCTGCTGCCTCCTAAATCCAAAATGAGGAAGTGGAAATTTGTTTGCATCAGCAATGAGATGTACAAGCGCAATTTAACAGACAAACTTTCCAGTGCTGTGGCTGCAGTCAGAGTGTTGAGGCAAACTGGACTTGCAACATTGATTATACAGTTTTTTTCAACATTTTATACTTAAGGTTCAGTAGTGGATATTGCATACCGTACCACAGATCAATAGGATATGGAGTCACAGCTATGATTTGATTCACAAATTGTGTGCTTGTTTGGGGGAGTGGGTAGCTGGGAGAAAAGAAGAGCCAAGACATTTTGCCTGAAATCAAACACAATGCCCTCCCATTGAGATTCAATACAAGCAGGTCTGGTGCATCATTTATTCACAGAAGGTAGAGAGATGATTCCGAACATTGCTTCAATGGCAAGCTGATCAATAGGATTGGAGAACCCATGTTTATTTTTCACTAACTGATAAATTTATCAGATGTTGCAAAGAATTTATTCAAAAGAGTGTTGTTTTGAATGGTCCGCCAGATAAACCAGTAGGGCCAAAAGACATTAGGGCTTTGAAAAAGCTGTTCAATGCTCAATGTCAAAAATTCCTTTACACAATTTATGCAAAGCTGCTTTACACAAACCAGTTCTTTCGAAATGCAGTGACTATTGTAGGCAAATGCCGCAGCCATATTGCGCACAGCAAGATTCAAATAGCAAAAAAACTGAAAGAACTACAAATGCTGGAAGTCAGAAACGAAAACAGAAATTGCTGTAAAATCTCAGCAGTTCTGGCAGAATCTGTGGAGAGAAATCAGAATTAACACTTCTGTCCAGTGACCCTTCTTCAGAACCGATAGCAGCTAAGAAAACGTTGGTTTTTAATCCAGAGATTCAAAGAACGATGAGCTAATAGTAGAATTCTGGTTGGGTCACTAGAAGAACTCTCAGTTCGTCAAACATTGCTGCAGAATTCTTTATATCCACCTGATGTGGTCTCAATTTACCAACTGTTTTAAAAACGTTATCTTGAAACAACACTCTTTCAGTACTTCACTTGAATATCAGCCAAGATGATATGCTTAAGTACTGAAACTGTTTTTGAAACAAAATATTTACCCTTTTGCGCTTCTTCTGTTACAGGCTGACCCAGAAATACATTTATAATCTATTTATAGCTGTGGCTTTTATAACCACTATGGTCAGAGCTGAAATCACCAGCAGTCTATCCAACTGGAACTACCATCAACCAGCTTGAAAGGAACTTTTAAAATCTCAGATCCTTTTCTCCGCTCTACTTTCATGATGCAAACGATACCAGGCACATGACATCTCAATGTAGTCTTTGTTGGACGTGAGCTAGTAATAGCAACTAAAGTAAAAAATTTAACAAAATGCAGCAAAAGCAAATACAATAACTGCTTGCTGAGGACTAACCACCTACAAATGCAAATTATAAAATTGGTGAACCAGACACTCCTTCATTTTCTTATGCAAAGCACTCCATCATATGGAATTCAGCATAAATTCATGGAAAATGGTCTGGTAGAATAGAGTAGAATGTTTAAGATAACACATACATGTTTATAATATTTGTTTTGAAATTACTACAAGTCCTTCGAGATGGTAATTCAGTACCAGATGACAAGTTCTAAAAGACTGCACTCTATGCAAGCATGATACAACAGCAGTTTGGAGGAGATTGTGATCAGTGTACATTAGAATATCTGATTCCAAAAGATTGCTGAAATTAGAATGAAAACACCCTTCCCTCTCCCACAAAGATTCACCAGCAAGCAATATATTTCATAAATAACATATCTGAGGGGAGGAGGGTGCTGATGATAATGGAGTATTTAACATCATCTTAACACATTAGCGCTTTGTTACAGTCCAGACTACGATCAGCTCACACGTTGTAAATCACACAAGCACGGTGAAGTATCAATGCTCAGTCGCACAGAGTGTGGCCAGCTCTCCTGCAGCTTGGGGACACACACACACACAAAACTTGTTAATCAGCAATAGAAGATTCTTCCCATCGACAAACTGTGGAATAACATCCCTCAAGGACAGACACACTGAGTAGATGTACCAGCCCAAGGGGTAGTGAAGAAGCGTGTCCAAGAAGATACCAAGTTCTTTCACTTCCTTATGGTGCTCTGGAATGCTCTGCAATGACCCACACTAAACCATATGAGAGTAGAGGTTGTCATGCAAGGGCAGGTTTGCCTTAACCCCTCATTCCCATATAACCCAAGTTAAGAAAAAAATTACTTAAACAAAATACCCTATTAAAATCCATGATGATTTTAATCAAAAACATCTCAATGTTCACAATACTTTGTTCCCATTTTGAATGGATGGCACTTCTAGTTTCAATAGTATGATTTGGACTTAGAATTCTCCATTTCCCCATGTGTGCTTTACAGAGGTCAGAGAATGAAAACAACTCCATTTTTAAAAACAACAAGTTTCATGCACTCCAACTCTTCATGACTAGTTGTATTCTTATCATTGACCTCTTGAGACCCAGGACTACGTTTAGGCTCAGTTTCTTACAACTGTCCACTTCAAATCAAGGACTGACATTTTAATAACAAAATAAAAAAAGATGTCGTGGCATGTCAGAACACTCTCCCTTCACCCGAGGCCAGGGTTTCAATCCAGCCTGACTGACTGGCATGATGTCAGTCAGGCCCCAATGATACAAGGATTTAATGTGAAATTATTTTCAGTAGCCTGGATTCTGAGTCAGAGCTTACAACACAAAAACAATTTGACACCAAAACAGCAGCAAGAATAAGAATAATTTATTTAACTGTGCATGGATTTTTTTTCTTGTTCACCGAACAGAAGGATATTAAAGCAAAGAAATTGTTTTCAAGTGTCAACTTCAAGATTCCAAGACAGTGTACAGCAGCACCCTCTCTACTATACAGGCCTCAATTCCAACCTTTAAAAAAAAAAGCGTTCTTTAATGCATAAATGTGATATAAACTTATTTCCCAGATTAGCCGTTCTGTAGTCTCAGAATCTGACAACGTTTGGGCACTTTTCTGTTGTGAACCCATTACCCATGCCTACTAGGAACGATGTTAAAACTGCCCAAATATTTCATATGAAATCATGATAATCAGTTGAGAGAGGAAACTTTTACCCCATCAGGCTGGACTGGGTTTTAACCAAAAATCTAAAGAACAGCACCTAACCCATCACACCACCAAGTCTTTTGGGGACCCTCTTCAAGGTGGTATTGATGCACATTATTGTGGTAGTTTGGACTCCATTCTGCAGCCGATAGGAAGGGAAAGTTAACGGAGACCACTCTCATGCATCTTCTGGTGGCTGATCAGACCACCACCGCAACAGGCCTGGGAGCAAAATCGGTAGACAGTGATTAATTGAGATTGAGGATACAACTTAAAACAAAAATGATAAAACCTCTGGAGTTTGCAGCACCCAGTTGCTACCAAGGACTGACAACTGTGGTTGAACTTATTTTTTTCTCTTTCCACATCCATCCTGTCTTTTCTAAAGTTTGGTTCCACGTATCTCTGGTACCACAACTAAGTAACCATTCCTAATAAGCAAATGTAGGCCAGTGTTGACAGATTGTTCAATCACCGATAAGCCTGACCTGGTACTTGCTAGAACTCCATTAGAAATGGGAAAAATAGCTTTCAAAAGCACTAATCCAGGTTGAATTATCTCATCTTCTGCCCAGGAATATGGAGGCCAATTAGAATACGCCTACCAATATGGAGGCACAACACAGTGCCCATAAATATCAATACCAATCAAAATCAATGAACAAAGAGCAGAAATCAAACCTGCAATCTTGCAGCTACAGGTTAGACACATTATAATACACCTTCAGGGCAGGTGGGATTTGAACTTGGATCTGAGGTGGAAACACTACTATTATGCCACAATAGCCCCCTACTGAGCTATGAAGTGGCATTCAAGTGGCTCGATAACCAAAAACAAAAAAATCCACACATATCTTGTTCGAGTGCACAACCATAGGGAAGTGCCGAATTGAGACTCTCAACAATAACAGACAATTTCACATCTGGCTGTTTGTTGTAGTTCCCATTAGCCACCTGTAGGTTGACTACACAGCCTGGGAGCAGGCCTTCTATTCCATTTTCTTGGTTGAAGGAGTCAGTCAAGCTTACAGGATAAAAATATTTTTAAGATCGGAATGGAGGGTGAAGGAAACTCATATGTCTTGAAAGAACAGTTTCAGCTCTCTTGAAATGTCAGTTGGAACAGCTATATGGATCAGAATTAGCTGATCACAGCTTAAGTGACAACTGGGACATAGCAATTGGAATACAGAGACACAGGGGAAAAATTGAACGTGTGGCCTTTGTTGCAATCCAGAAACCACAGCTGGAAAATTGTATCAGTGTCGAGAGATAGTAGGAACTACAGATGCTGGAGAATCTGAGATAACAAGGTGTAGAGCTGGATGAAGACAGCAGGCCAAGCAGCATCAGAGGAGCAGGAAAGCTGACGTTTCGGGTCGAGACCCTTCTTCAGAACACAACAACACAAGAAACTCAACATCATCCAGGACAGAGCAACTTGCTTAATTGACACTCCATTCACCACATTAAACATTCACTTACTACAATCACTATGTGCTGATGGTGAACTGTCTAGCATCTCAATGAAGTATGCAGCTTGCTTTGACAGTACTTTCCAAACCAGTGCGCTCTGTCACTTAGAATGACAAGGGCAGCAGATAAATTGGAATTACAGTACCTGCAAGAACCCCTTCTAGCCACACATCAGTGTGACTTGGTACCTGCGTTGTTGTTCAAAAGCTTGGAATCCCTTCCTAAAAGCACCATGCATGTATCTACACCAAAAGGACAAATAAGGATGGGCATCAAATTCTGGCCTTGCTGGCAATGAATCCATGTCATTAACAAAATAAAAGCTGAAGGCCCACTCAGAGATGGATTGCATCTCTAATAATATTGGACTCCCTACACTGAAGCATCTGGCTAACAATGCAATGAAAGATGTAATGTGTTTAAACCTGTATGCGAGACTGCTCAATTAACTAAAGAACATTTCAATATTTTTACTTCTAGCTTTCTTGCTGTTTCAAAGGCAGAAACTCATGCTGGCAGATGCTAGCAGTTCAATACAGTGTGGAGCAGGAAGAACACAGCAAGTCAGGCATCATCTGTGGAGCAGGAAACACCTGAAGAAGGAGTGAGGCTCCGAAAGCTTGTGTTTTCAAAT